CAGTGTGAATCTGCACCCGCGCGAGCGCCTGTCCGCCTCCGCGGCCGCGGGCCCGGACCTCTCGGTGTCCGTGTTCGGCTCGCAGCTGGCGAACCCGCTGGGCATATCCGCGGGGCTGGACAAGCACGCCGAGATCCCGGACGCGCTGTTCGCGCTGGGCGCGGCGGTGGTCGAGGTCGGCGGGTGCACGCCCCTGCCGCAGGACGGCAACGCGCGCCCGCGCATGTTCCGCCTGCCCACCCTCGACGGCCTGATCAACCGCTACGGGCTCAACTCGCACGGCGCCGACAACATGGCCATGCGCCTGCAGCAGCGCGTGCGCCGCTTCGCCATGGCCCAGGGCCTGCACGAGGACGACGTGCTCGACGGCGCCGCCGGCGTGCCCCCCGGCAGCCTGCTCCCCGGCCGCCTGCTGCTCGTGCAGATCGCCAAGAACAAGGATACGGACGAGCGCAACGTCGACGCCGTCAAGGCCGACTACGTCTACTGCGTGCGCCGCCTCGCGAGATACGCCGACGTGCTGGTCGTCAACGTGAGCAGCCCGAATACACCCGGGTTGCGTGATCTGCAGGCCGTCGAGCCCCTGACGCGCATCCTGGGCGCGGTCGTGGACGAGGCTCGCAAGGCGGACCGGAAGGTGAAGCCCAAGGTGATGGTCAAGGTCTCCCCGGACGAGGATGAGGATACCCAGATCGACGGGATCGTGCAGGCGGTGTGGTCGAGCGGCGTCGACGGTGTCATTGTAGGGAACACTACGAAGCGACGGACGGGCCTGGTTCCGCCGGGCGTCAATATGACGGCGACGGAGCAGCTGACCATGACGGAGACGGGCGGGTACTCGGGCCCGATGATGTTCGACCGCACCGTGGATCTGGTGAAGCGGTACCGGAAGACGTTGGACGGCCGGTCGCTCCAGTCGGCCGAGGAGAAGGTGGTGGCGGACGAAGCTGTGGACACCAGCATAGCGGCTCTGGACGGAACCATCACTAGCCCGCCCAAAGAGGGCATGAAGCCTCAGCCCAAGCCGAGCGAAAGGAAGCCGCTGGAGCAAAAGACCATTTTCGCCACGGGAGGCATCACTAACGGGAAACAAGCGCTGGAAGTGCTGAACGCTGGCGCCAGCATCGCTATGGTGTACACCAGCCTCGTCTACGGTGGCGCCGGTACCATTACGCGCATGAAGAGCGAGATGAAGGAGGATCTCAGCGGGAATAAAACGGAATAGGGGGAGGGAAGAAAACGGGAATGACCAAAAATTATCCAATAGCCTAGCATTGGGCTCTGTATCACCACCTAAGAAAGGAGGTTAAAAGGGAAAAAAAAAGAAAAAGAAAATAGACAATAGATGAGACGCAACGGGGCGGCATATGTCAGGGTTAGGACGTGATGTCTTCAGCTAATCAAAGACAACAGAGAAAGAGAGAGTATAAATAGCCTTTATACGATGAATAAAATCTCTATTGGTTGTCTCTTTTTTACAGGGTTTGTCATACATGCCCGCTATATTTTTATGAAGCACTCCCCCTTTTTTTTTCTCCCCGTCTATCACCAAGAAACTCCCTCCAAACCCTCGTCGGAAACGATTTAGAACGGCTATGTACGCAAAATATTAGCAAAAAGGGGTAAAATTATTTTTTTACGAGGGTAATTGGTTCCGGGTCTTACGTTGTCCGAGGCAGGGATCTCATTGATGAAGTAGCTGCCGATGAAAGGGACCTTCTGGAGAATGTCCTTCTGCACTCTGGGGATGCCGGAGGCGTAGAAGATGACGGCGAAGAGGGCGACGCCGCCGAAAGCACCGCTCTTGATGCCGCTGCGGATTGATACTGCCGTTAGTATATTCTCGAACCCTTATCTTCCGGTACTAAGAGCTCAAGCCTCGGACGAGGTCGTCTCTCCATATTCGTAGAGAACTTGTGTCGCAAAACCGAGGGCATAGGAAAAAGGGGGGGGGGGGGGGGGGGTTTCTTACAGTCCGGCGAATTGCTTCATGGTCCATCCGGCGACATTGGGCTGGTAGTGGTACCTATATTCGCGATACGTCGTCAGCGGTCCTGTTTGCTGCCTCCGATGATGGCCCATGCCCCCGAGAATGTTCGCTCTGTGGTCCCTGTCGTTCGTTCGTTCCCCCCCTCCACCACCACCATCACCCCCCACCATTACTATAAGATTTCCGGCTTTTTCCCCTCGCGCCGACCACATAGATAACATTGCCCCCTTCCCTTATCCTCTGTAATCGGGTGTAAGATTCGGTGCGCACTCACTTCGGACCGTAGGGGCTCTTGTAGGTTGGGTATTCAACCCGGCGAATGGGAGTCTGTGAGCAAGAATGGAGGAGTTAGTAAGGATGGATCTAAACTCCCGCGCAGGTAGAAATTGAAATAATAATAAAAAACAAAGTCGCTGGGGAATGGAATAGAGAGATATGTACCGGGAAGACCATTTTGGCTTTGGTTGTGGAAGAGCGAGGGTGAGGTCACAATTGCAGGTGGGAGGAATTGCTTGTAGCAAAAAGTTGAATTATTAAATGACGGCTTTCTATTGTTCGGGAGTCCTTTTGGTGGAGAGAGACGTTAATTATTAGTATTAGCTGCGCGACATTCTTTTGAAGAGCTCGGAGCAAGCCGGGATGCACTAGCCACAGGAGATGATGACAGCCACAATACTTACCTATTGCAGATTTAAACTCTCGTAGTCCGGTCTTCAGTTACCAGATATGTACCTAAGCAGCTTAAGTTTCCTGGTAATTTGGATAGGTATATATATATACGTACCTTGAGGTCCTAACCTACCTAAATACATAGTGTAAACCTAGATGAAGTCACATTCCATGCCCAAACTTTAGGTAGGTGCCTAGTACCAACCAGCCACAGACACAAAAGGTACCTAAGTTACTCAGACAAGGGTAAGAAAGGTGGAAGGGTCCCCACTTGAGCTTCCATGGTTCAAGCTCCCCCCAAATATTCCCAAGAACGGCTAACAACCTTATACTCTTAACCCATCACATCACCATCCATCTATTCTTCCAATCAACCACAACAACACATAGAAGAATAGCAATTACATTCTCACAAGAGTGGTGCTTTTGAAGAAATGAATAAACAACTCGACACTCGCTTCGACCGCGTCGAAAGGGCATTAGAGTCTTTAGTTGACTCGATTGCTAAGTACAACCCCTCTACGCACCAGGTCGTCGAGTTAGAGAGAGTAGACGAGGAACTCAACAAGGGCCTGCAAGACTGTGAGAATTCTTACATTAATACCTTAACATTGAAACCAATAAAAAAATACACACTGACCACCGATCCAGTGCAAACCCACCAGTCCAACTACCGCCGCATTCAAGAGCTTCGCGCTGCCACCACCAGCCTCGATGGCCAGATCAAAGACACCCTGCGCCTGCTGGCCAACACGCGCAAGGAGCTGATCAGCACGCCCGCCACCGTATTCCCCGCCGGGCCGAGCCACGAAATCAAGTACGACGAGCTGCTGGCCTACGCTCGTAGGATAAGCAAGACGACCATCCCGCCAGTAGGCGCCGTCAACAGCGTCCCGGCCACGGCAGCCGACTCGCAGCTCAAGGCCGAAAACGGGGGCACCGAGACCGCGGCCACCACCCCGGGCGAGACCCCCAACGGCACGCAACCGCAGACCGCGAGCGCCACGCCCGCCGCCACCAGCAACGGGGCGTCGTTCGACGCGTCGCAGCAGTCGTCGTCGACGACGACGACGACGACGGCGGTGCTGCCGGACGCGCTCAACGCGCACCTGAACCCGCACACGGGCCTCGAGTTCGTGCCGTGGCCGAGCGAGGAGCAGGTGCGCAAGGGCGCCATCGCGTCGCTGGCGTTCATCGCCGAGCAAGGCATCGACGCGGAGAACTACGACCCGGAGGAGGAGAAGGCGCGGCGCGAGCGCGAGGAGGACGAGCGCCGCGCCCAGGAGGACCGCGAGCGCGCCGAGAGAGAGGACAGGGATCGCAGGCTGCGCGAGGAGCATGCGCGCTTGCGCGCCGAGCGCGAGAGGGCCCGGGAGAAGGAGGAGGCGGAGGGGTGGAGGCGCGCGAGCGTTAGCATGGGGCTGAATACGGCGGCGGCGGGGGCGGCTGGGCCGGGCGGAGTCCCGCCCCCGAGTAGCTCCCCGGTGGGCGAGAAGAAGCAGTTCCAGTTCATGGGCGGGGATGATGACGATGATGATGATTGAGGCAGGGGTAGATTAGGTGCATGCTGCACTAGATTCTTATTACCTGTGCTGGAGAAGGGGGGGTACAGATGGATATAGCCGCAGGATAAGATACAGGTACGGGTTAGGTAGGGTACGAGGGTATGCTGTTGATAGTATCACAAGCTCTTGCGGAAGCATAGACCTACCTGGGAGAGATGATACCTTTGGTACCATGCTTCTTGAAATAAACATCCTTCATTGCCAGACGGGTTTTATCATTTTTCATTTAATTTGATAATGAGAAGCTTTCCCTATGGGGTATTATTTTTCACACGTTTCACCCTTAAGTAAATTGCGTAGCTTCATATTGGGAACCTTCAGTGTTCACTACTGTTTAATGTAATTTGATTTCAGGTTCCCATTGATTTTTTTTTCTTTTATATATTAATTTTACTTTTAGGTATTCTTTATATCCCCTCTCTCTAATTGTGAATAAGACGTATATATCTGTGTATTTAATAAATAAATATAACACTAGAGATAAGGGAGACCTGTCACACATCCGCCCTCAACTGTCTGTATAAGGCTATGAGAGACGATAAACTGGCTATATCAACAAAGCCGTATTGAAAACATTTAACCACCACGTTGTTAAGTTGCCTTGTCCAGTTAGTTTTTAGTCAATTAATTAATCACCGAGTATACACACTAGTAAATAAGACATACACACTTAGCAGTCTATTGTTCAAAAAGATATGGCCGTATAAGTATGGAAAGGAGAGAATTAAATCAAAAGAAGAAAAGGAAAATAAAAAATAAAATAAAAATAAAGTGAAGGGCCTGGCCGGGGATTGAACCCGGGACCTCTCGCAAGCTGGAAGCATAGGGTGTTACCCTAAGCGAGAATCATACCACTAGACCACCACGCCCACTTTGTGTCACGGTGACCCGGTAGCCAGGCGGCGACTCGTCGCCGACCCGACTGCTGGGCTCGTAGCTCGACCTGCTTAGCTGCGTCAACGGAGACTGCTGGGCGGGCTAAGGTGGTGAGCTGGTGATGGAACGGCGGCTTATTTTGGTTTATGTAGGATAGGTAGGTGCGATGGGATCGAGTTTGTGAGTGGAGGGGAAGAGAGAGGGGCAGGGGTGTTTGCTGACCTATGGGAAGCTTACCTTGCTAGGGTGGTGGGGTCTGGGTATAGTGGGGCTGGGTCGTCAAGCTCCGAGGCTTGTAGAATTGTAGGCTTGCCGATGCTACTTACTTATCCTTCTTTACTGATTTATTCTTCAGCTTTTTTACAATGTTGATCTGGTCATATGAGATAGTAAAATATCTGGCTGTTTCTATATTTACCTACCTAGCTAGGCACACCTATTTTACCATGTTCTTTAATTACCACACTTAAAGTAAGGTAAATGTCATTCTTACCCATGTTAACTTACCTGTATCAATTTCACAAGAAATAAATAGACGAAAGAGCCTTTTACTAGTATTTTATGAATTGCAGGTGATCCTCCACTTATCGCTACATAGAAGGCTCTTCTTCAACAGGCCAACGCATTGAACTAGGAAGGTAAGAGAGTGCCATACCTATTGTACAGCCACTACCAACGGGTAAGCCTTCCTGTTAAGCTCTGATGATAGTGGGGGTTTCCTTGCATTTACATCATGCTGTGCGAGCTTTTGAAAGCTAAAAGCCAATATGCAGCGGGGGACGGAGGTTTCGGCTATACTTTATACTTAGTGCTCTGATCTAGAGCAGATTAGCACCTTGTAGGTGTGGGTAGATGTAACAATACCACGTGCTGGGAGTTGCATTTATTCGCCATTCAGTTCTAGTTCAGGCAGTAAGTAGCAGCGATCCAGAAATAGGGTTATACCTACCGGGTCCATCAGGCCTTATAGCTTAAGAGCAGTCTGTACGGAAGTAGGTCCCCCGCCTAACCTACCTAGGTAGATGCCGATACCTCCTACTACCTACTAGTAGGTACTATATCTATATAATCTATACTTAGACCAACCATTTAACTCATAATCTACCTACAAAGTCCTGTTTCCCCCCCCCAAGACACCTACTCACAATATTCCTACATCTTCTATTTGTGAAGGGTATTCCATACTCCTAAACAGTGCCATCCTAGAATCCATTGTCCGTATATCATCATGGCCAAGGAACAAAAAGATGAGGAGCTCATTGCCTTTTCAAAGTCCCTCACCGGAATCCCCGATGGCGAGGAATATGAGAAGATGATATCCGGCATGCTGTAAGAATAGGCTCTCCTAAGGACAACATAAAGGTCTAATGGTCTGCAGATACGACCCCCTCAAGCCGGAACTTATGGAGGCCCGGCATAGAGCCCGAACTGCAACATACATGTTCAACAGTTTCGATCTCGCTAGCTATTCTATGGACAGAGCGACCGAGACCCGTTTCCGGCTACTCGAGGCATTCCTGGGCAGTGTAGGCACAGGCACTTTCATCGAGGCGCCATTCCGACCCGACTACGGATGCAATATTGTCATTGGAAAGAACTGCTTCATGAACTTCAAGTGAGAGCACTCCTAATTCCCTTACCAAGCTTGCACGATATCCGAGGCTAACGGTTACACTCCCCTGTAGCTTAACCATCCTGGACACCAGCTTGGTCATCATTGGTGACCGCGTCCAGATGGGGCCCAACGTGAGCATATACACCGCGGGCCACGATACTAGTGTGCTATCCCGCATCAAGTTCGTCGAGTTCGGACATGCCATCCGGATCGAGGACGACTGCTGGATCGGAGGCGGCACCACAATCCTGCCCGGAGTCACTATCGGGAAGGGATGCACCATCGGTGCCGGCTCTGTCGTGACTAAGAGTATCCCCCCCTACTCGGTGGCGCTGGGTTCCCCGGCCAAGGTGATTAAGACGCTGCCTACGGTTGAGGAGGAGCGGGCAGACCCTAATAACCCGTACAATAAGATGGTGGATAGACAATAAACTGTCGATGGTGTTGGAATAGAGATTATGGCGTTAGATTGTAGCATTGTCAACCGTGTTCATTACCCCCTAGATTAGTAGAAAAGGGTAGATGGAGTACAAGCCACGAATGTTTTACATATCCTCCCATAGAAAAATCATCAACATAGTTTTGGTTATTCTAGATCATTCCTATGCATGTCATTGAACATATGTCAAGTAAAATGCGCTACATCCTCGCATCGTACATATTATTCCTATCCCCCCTTTTCACCCACAACGTGTCTCGAAGCTTAATATCTGGCATCCCAAATCAACAAATTCACCACTGCCTTTTATTTTCTCACAGGCCATCATGTGAAACCCCCTTCCACAAATGCCACATCTATCCTACGGTGTTGTCAGGTGGAGGAGAAGAAACGAGAGATTCTTCCGAGCGACCCATAACGGGAAACTCCGCCTTCGACATTCAACTCCCCAACTCCGCCCTCAAACTCCGCCGTCTGCAGACCACCGACATATGTAAGTGGCATGTCGTGCTATATTGCGTAAACATCCACCTACTGCATTGCATTGCATTGCCGATGTTTTGCCTAATGGTGCGTTGGCGTTGCTATCTAGGTACTGCCACTCGTATAAGGGGTGTGGAGACGATCTCTAGCATGGTTTTGACGCTTTCGAGATCATGTTACATATATCGCTTGCGTTTCCATGAGGTAAGAGGAAAATAAGACATATGAGCCGGACCCCGCGCTACGGGTCTGTTGTAGTTCTTAACCCACCAATTACTACATAGTAGGTCATAAAGAGGTGACTGCATGGCATAGTAATGAACTAGGTTAGTTTATATTAAGCTGAAATGCAATCACCTTAGTCGTGGCTTATAAGGGGTCTGATATGATATATTACTGACGGGTTATATCTGTGGCTGTTGTAAGAATGCTGCTGTATTAGGTCCTAATACCAACTTGCTAACAATTTATAGGGGGCATCCCACCAGGTCGTAGCTATCTTTCGGTCTGCCATCCTACGTCAACTAACCTAACACTTCTCCCACTTGATATTCCCACACTCCTTTCCGCCCCAGCCCCAGTGTCCGTTCTCCCTCCTCGCCTCGCACAGCTTGCCATTGCAGCCCACGAAAAACAGTCTGATCCTAGTCTCGTCGGTGTTGTCAGGCACGTGGCACGTGGCCAGGAAGTGCGGGTTGCCCTTGGAGAAGCAAGGCACAATGCAGCTGCCGCTGTTGTTGCCTTTGCACTGGCCGTTCTGCTCCCAGCGCTCGTAGGTCAAGTGGCAGTCGCTGACATTCGATGCAACCGCCCAGTACTGCGCGACCACGCCAGCCGCGGAAGCGCACGCGCTGATGTGTGCCGTATCATAGCCATCGCTACGGACGGGGCCGATGTCGAGCGGGCCTATAGAAGAACGTGTCAGCATTCTTACCTAACTCATATGCTCATTTATGGCTATCGGCGATGATAGAATGGGAAGGGGAGAACACATACCTGCACCCCAGTGTCCATTCTCCCACCGAACCTCGAGAATGTGATCAGTGGTATGCTGGTAATATCCTCGGATGATCGGCGAGCTTGCCTTCGGCGCAAGATTGACAAAGGCTAAAGACGTGCCCTTCTTTGGGCAAGGGAAGCGATGTCCAGCCTTGAAATCGCCGCTCCCGTCCCAGCAGAGCTCCTGAATATGATCGTCATTACTTTGGTAGTAGAGCCTGTCTTACGTCAGTAAGATGACTATTTGGAGGAGTTGATTTAAGGGGGATAAGGGAGATTTACCGCATATGACCGACGCCATTGTATACCCAGCTAATGGCTCCAAGTCTACTGTATGGAGCCGTGACCCAGTTCCCAATCACCCCATTCTTGCCGCCGCCGACCGCAAAACACGCAATTTTATGATCCTTGGTGATATAGAAGGTGCGTGAGTGACCCTGTTTATCTATTAGCTTCTTCCGGTACATCGGTCCCTGGGGGTTGACAAGTGAGATGTACCCCTTGTTTGTCCGAGTAGATGGTTGAAGTAATGGGCGTTGGAACCATAGCCTCATTAGGCCTGGTTATCGGTTGGGAGTCTCCGTAACTCCATTTGCCGCCCCAGTTGTCGGTCACGCAGGCATGTATGAGGCCTGCTTTGTCCTGATAGAAAATTCGCTAATTCCAAGTTAGTCGATTACGGACTCAGTATTTGAGAATAAAGGGAGAGGAATGAACGAGACAAGGAAAGGTGCACCAACGTAGCTACGGCCATTGTTGAATTGGAATCCTCCAATAAAGGATTGTGGATGGATATCCGTCACAACGGGAATGGAAGAGGCAGCCATGATGGATGAAGAACTCAGATGTAAAGAGTTACGCTGGTATCTATTTGAATCAAATACTGACGAAGAGAGGATGGTGACAGATAATGGAATTGAGCCTTCAGATGCTGAAAAAGATTCAGCTCAATTATAATCCAGCAGAAGTTGGAGGAACAATATTGATGAACGCGTAAGTCATAGGTAGAACTATGCAATGCCGCCGCTCCCTAGTCGCAATAATTCAGCCTTGCCCGTACGACGACGCTCTCGATCGTTTGTCCAGCCTCTCTGACCTTCCCCAGCAGCTTTCCAAGCCGTCAGCAAGCCACTTTGCTTGTCGCGCATCCCGCCGAGGTCGATGCTGTCCTTCTCTTACTCGGTTAAGAAATTAAAGTAGATATTTGCAAGCAGAACACGAGTCGCTCTCCTCCATATCACATCCCGTTCCAGAAACCGGGACTACCGGAAACTAGTGTTGAGGCGCCACGTCGACAACTTACAGCCTTAAAAGGGAAGATCGAAGCCGTTGATGTGATACCTCCTACATACTGGCTTTGTGACTGTGGCTAGCTGATGACGATGGAAGCGCCCTAGAAGTCGGCTACAGTATAAGCCTTTTTTTCTGGTAAAAGGGGGGAGTGAAGAAGAGGCCGG